TTACTTGTATAGATAAGAGCTGTAATATATAGATATGTCTCTGAAATATTTAAAACCAATAAAGAATTCAGAGCTTTCTAAAGCTATAAAAAATTTGATAAAAAAATGGAACAATAAAAAAATTCAAACCAAATTAATTTTTTATCAACTATGAAAGAAGAAATAGGAATTAAATTTGGAATATAACTTTTACATTGTCATTTTACTTTGAATTCAGATTATCTATTCACTTTTTTTAAAGCTAACAATATGAAATTACTGTCAAAAACCTAACCACAGCATCCAAACTCTATGTATGCTAGCAAAATTATCAATACTCAGGATGTAAAAATAAATATCTTTTAGAAGATTCTAAACTAATTGAACTACAAATTTCCAATAATACAAATTATAATTTTTAAAGTTAATTAACAAGACAAAATTAGCTGCATGGTTGATTTCTTTAAAATACAATAATTTGATTTTGCAAAGTATATTTGTTAATATTTTTTTGATTCAAGATTATAATAAAATAAATTAATTAATACTCTTTATTCTTTTGTTTTTTTTTAATATTAAAAAATTAGTATTTTGCAAAAAAATACTATAACATCCTATTATATAATACTCTTATTTTATATGTAAAATTATTATTATACTGTTAGAGTTAGATATTTTATATAATAATATTTTGTAAAAAAATTTTTTTTAGAATATTAAAAACTGGTTTATAAACAAAATTTTGAGCTATACCATTTTTATGATGGAATTTTTTGCATGATTAGAATTAATGCTAAGTTATGTTAATAACTAAATCCAAAAGATGTAATGTTAATTTTTTTCTCTATTAAAATAATCAAAATTTGAACTCACTGGCTATTTCTTTTTTGGAAGTTTAAAGTAGATTAATTAAAAATCTTTGCATTCGCTAAAATGAATAAATAAAAAATGTTTATATCTGTACCAAATTTTTGTGCTTGTGTCTATGCCTGTACCAAATTCTTATACCTGTAACTATATAAAGCCAAATTTTTATGCCTACGCCTATGCCCATATCAAATCTTTATACGTCTATGCCAAATTTTTTTTATAACAAAGTATCAACTTTATTCTCTTGGCTCTAGCTATATGTGTTTTAAAAAACCACATTTTTGATGCATTCAATATTAAAAATTAAAAAAAGTTACTTTGAACATTCTACTTAAAACAATAAGGATTATATATTCTACACCTCTAAGATAGCTAAAAAATGCTTTTTATTTCAGAGAAGGGTGTGATTGATAGCCTCGTACTCCACAATCAACTTCATATAGTCCTGAACCCGCAATATTATTGTAATCTTTTAACAGTTTTTCTCCTATTTTTTCATAGTCATGAATAATATCAGATAATGTACATCTGATTGTCCATAAAGCCTGAATAAATGGCTTAAATTCTTCTATCACCACTTTCTTATACGGAATATCTAAATCAAATACTTCTCTTATGCGACAAAAAGGGTGTGCTAGACAATAGGGGTGAGAATTTTATTTAAGGTTAGAGGGTAGAGTAGAGGGTACATAGATCATTTTATCATATAATTTTTTTTATCATATGATTTTAGTGGTACAACATAATTTATATAGAAAATAAAAATATTCTACTAATAAACCTTTTTACTATTGTATAATTTTTATCAAAATTCTACAGTATATAGACTAAAATACATTCTTTATAGTAATAAAATTTTTAATAGATAAAGATTTAAAAAATATATACTTGTATATATTGTAATGTTTGCCGGGGTTGGTGTTAAATATTATGCTTTTTTTTGTGTAACTTCACAATAGCTTATCTTGTAATTAGGTAATGATCGAACCTATTTGCTATGCATATTATACTTTGATGATCATTATGACATTTTATAGAGTTAGATCATCATTTATGTTTTGTATAATAATTATTTAGAGTCTAATAGATAGTATAAAATGAATACTAATAAAAAAATTCTTTCTGGTACTAGTTATGCTTGGAGTATTTTCTTGTCTTGGTCAAACTATAAAACTCTCCCAAGTCGTAATATTGGTCATGATTTTCCGGGGTTATACAAAATTGTTAAATCAGATTGGTTTAGCATAGCAGGCTTTTATTCTGATTGGCTAATGTTTTTAGATCATTTGGTGACTTTACAAAATCTGATTGGCTAATAGAAACGAGTTCAATAGATTGGTTGTTAATGATTTGGTTATTAAGATTCGGTTGCAATTAGTGATATGCCGCGTATAGTACTATACGTACTGTACACGAAAAAAATTTAAGTATCATATAAATGGCATATAATTTGTGTTTGTTTTTATTCTAACCTGGTAATAATACAGTTGTATATTTGTGGCAAGATATGTAATATAATAATTTATTTTAATGCAGTATTACACTGGTTTTATTATAATATAATGTATAATACATACATACATTGTTTAAAATAAATACGTATATTTCTGTATTTTACATTAGCCGTTAAACAAGCTATTGATAATCCGGCTTATCTTATTATTGAATAAAAAATTTTCAGAAGCAGCTCCTAACATTGCTTCACAAAATTTTTATCTGATAGTTCATTTCTTATCTTTTCAAAATCTACAATATCAGAAAAATTTTTTGATTATTGTTGTGTTGTACTAATTTTTTTATTTTTTTTTGGTTTTAAGGTGACCTCTTGGTCGATTCTCTTTATTCAGTTATTAGTCAAGTTTTACCGTATACTAAG